ATAACGAAAAAATTTTCTTTTACATTCGTTTCTGATTGTATCTCTAATTTTGACAGCTATTTTTTCTCATCTTGAAAGAATCTCAGTTTATAATCTTGTTTTAATTCTTATTCTTTAGTGAGGATTAATCAATGGGTCTTGAAAAAAGGATATCTCGTTCCAGATTGAAAGCTAATTGGAATTTTATGTTTTTCAATTTCCCATTTGGTAAGCTAATTAATCAAGAAAAAGTAGAATCTTTCGTTCTATAAATTATCAATAGAGAAAGAAGGCACAATTAATAGAGAAGAAAAGCACTGGCATCAATATAGTTTCCGTCCGATGTATTGAGAATAATAAAATGCAACCATTTCGTTCAAAATCTAAGAGATGAAGCGCTAGAAATATTTCTAAATGAGTTGACTTTTATTTGAATTAACTTTTTCTTTTATATTTGTTTGCTATTAATACTTGTTTTATACTCTATTTGAATTTTACAATAAATAAATAGAGTAAAATTATTAATAAATTTTACTCTTGTTAATTATGAAGTACATATATGGCTATAATATATCTCAATATTTAGTAACTAGTTGATAATACCTACTTGAGTGCACATGGCCAATACACTAAGATGCGGCTATGTGCACTCGAGTGCACATAGCCACTTCCTTTAAAAAAATAAAAATTGATAAATATTTTTGATTAATGAGAAAAAATTTTTAAATCTTATCAGTGAAGGAAAACGAAATAATTGATCAAAAGTTACACGATAATCGAGCGAAAATGATGTCATTTGAGTTTACTTTTTATAAGAAATAACTTGCTTTAATCCAGTATCTTCACTTCTCTTGTACGGATCCAAATAATAAGCAGGATGACTGCAGAAAAATAAGATATTTATCAATGAACATAAAGATTGTGATTGACCGAACGCTATCATTTTATCGATGTGCAGATTTTCATCGCTACTTACCAAGAGGTTGCGATTTATTTTCTATTTATTATAAATACTTTTGATGTGATAACCATGGTTAAACTTTTCTGAAATGGGGAGAACTGTATTGTACCATGATAAATCAGAATGAGTATCAAATTCATTAATTCTGATGAAACCAATTCAGAAGACAGGTTCATCACTGGCTGATGGAAGTTGATGGAATTGCATCGATAATAGATATTTTGAAAGATTCCACTTAGCTTCGTAAAAGGCTTCCAAATAAACTTATGTGAAAAATTAACAGAGCAAAAAAAATTGCTCTGTCCTGCCCTGTACTTTTCTTCGGTCGTCCTGCAGGGCAAATAGGACAGGGCAAAAAAAGAAGTTTGTCCTGCAGTACAGGGCAGGGCAGGGCAACAAGGCAGCCCTGACTTGATGATGGTCTCTGGTGTGCATTCCTTTCGTTTATTGAATATTTTAAATCTTTCATTTTTTTTTGGGTGTGAGTGAGTATGAATCTTCTCTTTTCTCCTAGCCATACCCAATACTTACGTTCTCTTCGAATTTATCAATAATCAAATTTTCTTCAACAGGAAAACTTAACGACGTCGTCGATGACGAAGTATTAAAATTAGCCAAGAGTGGAATAATACGCGCTCTTGATTTGGAAGAACACGAAATAAAAGCTGAAATTATAAATGATTTGCTAGAAAATGGTCGACAATCATTGTCTAAGTATGAAGAAGAGTTCGCACCAGATGTCTATACAGCAGCAATAAATGAAAACGATGGCAACCTGATGAAGTCTCTGAAAAAATACTTTGAAAAACAATGGAAAATAAAATATGGTTCTTCAAATCAATGGTTTATTTTATTCTTAAAGGAATATAAAGATGCTGTGAATTATGATTCTGTTCTGAAACGTACAGCTGAATATGGCAATAAATACATGAAAGATTGCCCAATCTTATCAATTGTTTTGCAACTTCTATTTGAAGGTATTGATGATACATGTATGGATGAAACAAATGCATTCAATAATCTATGGTGTGCAATAACCAATAATGGTTTAAAATCTATAGAAAACTTTTCTGATAATAAAAAGCGATCCGTCTTATTTCAAGCGTTACGTGAATATTATTGTCCAAAATTATTTGAATTATTGAACAAAAGTAAAATCTCGGATAAAGACAATTTGTATGAATCAGCATTAAATAACGTTGCTGAATACGGTTGGTTACAAGGTTTACAAGAAGTTGAAAAGAGAATAATAGTGAAACATTTTAAAATATTACTAGCAAATATTCCTGTATCCGGCGATACATCTAGAAAGCAAGGTAAACTTGATTTAGTTGAATACCTTGTTTGTTCATCCTTTTAAAAGGCAAATATTGTTACGGCAGAAAAAGTTCCTTCAAAGAAAATTGACAATTCAGTTTTCATATGTGAGTTATTTTTGTGTTGCGCAATTCCAATTGACGATATGTAACATCATGATTTTTTAGACCAGATATACGCCCAAAGACTCGAAGAAAAGTTTATTTTTATTCTCATGCCTCAACACATACACATATGTCATTTGACGCATGTTGATCACAAATATGATAGTTGCAATGAATAAAATAATATTTACTAGGCAATAATATTAACGCAATAAGACCTCCGTCCCCCCCCCCCCCATGACAATGATCTTGAAATTTTTTCATCTTTGACTTACACTATAAAAGACAATTACTGTCAAAAAAATTATTTTCAGGAGTAATCGAAATTTTTTTGTATCAAATTTTAATACAAAAGTAAGCCTTTATTTTCCAAAAAGTGACAACTTCTTCAATGACTTCATCAAAAGTTTTGTAGATGAAAGATTCTCTTTGCAGTCTGATGTATCACTTGCCAAATTATCCATAGAGATTCAGATTTTTCAATCTGAATACTCGCTGATCAAACTTTATTAGTGGTCAGTATTTCTGCAAAAAATATTTTCTCTGGTGAAAAGTTCAAATCAGTTAAATCTTTATGGCACCTTACTCAAGATAGGACAACTTGTTTTTCCTAATAAGTGAATTGTGAACAATATAGGCTCACTTTCTTTCAATTAGATTTAGTTTTATTTTCTACTAAAATAATTGCTTTTTGATATCAAGATATGGCTATGTGAGAAATCAATAACCATTGATCAATCAGGACATATTAAGGAAGAAAAACTGAAATTTTGTTTGTTATTGATAGATTTCCTCTTCACACGTTCTTCTATAGGACGATAACCCCATGAACATGCAAAAAAGGAGTGAACTCTATTGTTTACTTCTTGATGTATTATTTTAAGAAGTCAAATTTTAGATAAGGATCAATATGTGAGGAAAAGTTAATGGATGCTTTGGGGGCATTTCTTCCTATTCTCTTATTGTTATGTTCTAATCCAATGATATCCCAAATTTGAGAGAAATGTCTCTAGCCTAGCAATTACGTATATACGTTTACGCAGTGGAAAGGGTGCATCTTATCTTTATGAAGAGAGCGAGAAATGTACTAGATTTGGCAAGGTATAGTTGTTCAACTCTGCGGAAAGTGATGGAACAAAAATTGATTGCTAAATTCGTACTTAGGGAACAAAATGCTCTTTAAACTAAAACCTTCAATTTAATTGATTTAAGCTGAACAAATAGAATAAACACAGGTATGGGTTGTAAATGTTGATCTTCTCTGAATCCACAACCAAACTCCACCAGAATAGTGACTTCATTCACCCTTTCGCTCATGTTCTGCTCGATGGCATACCATCTTATTCTGTCATACACTGTTCGACTCCTGTGTGGGTGTGGATCTTCTATTTGTCCACATTCCGAGTATTCTCATCATCTTCCACGTACTATACGAACGATTACTTATATTTTAGTTCAACCGAAAGTAGAAGCTCCAACATCGGTAAACGAGCAATCATGTATGTTTGGTAAAGATACTCAGATTTCATGGAAGTTCAGTGGCATCTGGAAGCTACGTGTAACATGGTTCTTCAATGATCAACCACTTTCAACTGACAATCGCTTGGAAGTAACGGAGACTGATGATGGAACATCGATACTAACAATTCGTCAAGTTGAACTTGGTGATCAAGGTGTCTATACTACTAGAGCAACCAATGCTTTTGGTGTAGCTGAAGCTCAGACAACATTAAAGATTGATTGCATCAAACCTGTCATCAACGCTAATCTCAATAGTGCGCTAGAAGTCACAAAAGGTGAAACCATGGGACTAAAAATTGTCGCCAGTGGAACACCAAAGCCTGACATTGTCTGGATGAAAGACGACAATGAACTTACACCAAATGATCGCATTCAAGTGACAATACCGAATGGTAACGATGACAAATACACAATGGCTATTTTGAATGCACAACCAGGAGATCAAGGTGAATATTCAGCCAAGATTTCCAATGTTGGTGGATCACTTCAATCCAATAAGTGCAAAGTCACTGTTTCGAGTACGTCACCTTGATTTTTCTTGTTTTTGAATAACATATGTCTTTGTAGAATCACCAGTGTTTATTGTCAAGCTGACAACACAAAAAGTGAAGCAAGGTACGACAGCAGTATTCGTGACGAAGATTGATGGATACCCAACACCGACTATAACATGGCTTCTTAATGAAAAACCATTGACAGCGAAAGAAGGTGTTCACGTGCAGTTCGATGCTACCAATGGTGAAGTCAAGTTGTCCATTCAAAACGTCGTTCTAGAACAACATGCAGGTTCGATTACTTGTCGTCTCGAGAATCCACATGGCAATCAAGAAGAAACTGTTCGACTCGATGTTCTTGCTGCACCAATAATCACTACACAGTTGCCCAAAGAACAAGAAACTGTGAGCGGGCGAGATGTCACATTGAAAGTGGCTGTTCGAGGATCTCCACGACCGTCTGCTCAATGGTTCTTTAATGATAAATCCATTGCATCAGAGAATACATCAGTAGACGAGGCGAAGAATGAATATCGACTGTTGATCAAACAGGCAACAGTGGCACAGAGTGAAGGAACGTATCAAGTCGTATTGAAGAACGAAGTTGGTGAAGTACAGTCGACTCCATGTGCACTTACAGTACTAGAGCCAGTGAAGTTGACAAAAATGAAACCAATATCGGATGCGATTCACTTGAACAAGGGGAATACATTCGAAATCATCGTAGATGTGAGTGGCAAGGAAACGCCAACAGTTCAGCTGACAAAAGATGAAAAGGCACTGCAGTTCACCAGCGAAGGGACAACACGATACACATTCTCAGTGGCTAGTGTAAAGCAAGAAAATCAAGGTGTGTACAAGGTGATAGCAAAGAATAAGATGTCAATGGCAGAAATGACTATCACCCTCAATGTTACTGGTGAGTTTGCCTGCATTTCAAAAAATAAATTTTGCAGCATACCTATTCTATACATTCTCGTGAAAAATTTCAGTGCAGTGTAAAGTCGAACGAAACTCTGCAACTGCTTTCTCTCTCATTCATATTCACACATAGCACATTCTTCTTAAAGTTTATTATTCATGAGTTGCATTCGATTAATATAACTAATACGACGATGTTTTAAAGATTCGTCCAAATATGATACAGTTGGATAATGCATCTTTCAATTTTTTTGAAACGTTCAAATTCTTTCTAACAATCGAAGGTTTTGTACTATTAGTATAGAATATTAGACATATTGGGGTCACATTCAAGCTCTCACTGCCAAACTAATAAATTTAAAATATGAGCTGCCAATGGCATAAACTGATTGAGATAATGGACTTTTTAAGTATTTACAGTATGTGTAAGATTTTCACCAGTCAAGCTTTTAACATTAGTTATTTTTCTTTTTTTTCGTAGTGGTTGGATGAGTTGTGGGTGTGAATTTGATAGATCTTCTCTCCATCCACGCCCATACTCACTTTCACACTACAAAAAAGCATGTATTTCAATGACATACGGAACATATGAACTGAAGTTTTATTGTTAAAGTAAAAATGTTAAAGTGTCCTACATAGGAGCAGAGTATTCAGAAGTACTACCAATTACAATGCTTTTACTCTCAAGATGAAAAATTTGCAGAAATACTATTAATTTTTAGTTTTTCTGTTATTGAAAAGGAATGATCGCTTAGACATTGGTAAGTGTCAACACTTTGCTTTACATGACACTATCACAAAAATTAGAAGAACTATTCATAATTTCTAAACTGATACTTTTCATTACGTATCCAAAGAAAGGCTTAGTAGAAAAAGCTTTTGTTCTCCTGCTTCAAATTTCTTGCCGTCTCTCGTTTCCTTGGAAATGAAGGAAAAAGAGTTTCGTTGAGAGGTGCATATTAGAGTCAATGTCAGTCATCGTCTTTATAGATTTATCTAGTCTTTCATAAGAAGAGTTCGAACTGAGTGTTGTATCTCATTAGAATAATTGGATTATGAGCATCAAATACACCAATGCAGCTTTTCTCGATTTAGTTTGATTATTGAGAAACTTTTTTTTAAGTATCAATGATAAAACCGCATACATCTTTCAAAAATGCATTAGTATTTCGCAATCCTTTTTTATCATAAATAAATATTAAGCCAAAATCAATAGTATAGTTGGAATCAACATAAAAAACCTGCGTCGTTTCTTAAACATATCAGCTAAATATTTTTTCATGAAACATGCACCTGTGAATGTGCAGTTTCAGTTAGCTGACTATCGACGTCATCGAATCAGTGTAATTAGTGAAGACTGACTACACGAACACACTGATATTGGCATCAGTGTTCATTGAAACAGTGAAAGACACCACTACAAACGAGACATATTTTGACATAGCTGGTAATGCAATCCAGCAGTAAATGCGCATATCAATGGAATCAATCTTCCAGTCAACCCTATGTCGGTGACCGATTGTCAGTATTTACGCCAAAGCTACATATCGCTAAATGCACCTTGAGTGCATTGAAGGGACAATTGAGGAAAAAACAATACTGAGAAGCTCTCATATACTTTTTTTTGTTAAAGCATCTATGTATTAGAATGTAGTTCTTTCGTTAATCCCAATTGTGTGATTGGATTTGCTCTGAAACTGAATGATGATAATTAGAAACGCTATGTACGTTCACAAGCTTCACAAGTTTACCCAACTTTACTGCTGCCATCAGAAAAATTCCATTTTTCTGCAGAATAAAACAAAATTTAAGAAAAGCTCAATAAGTATTTTTATAGATAGCGATTGAGCGATTCTAAGAAGATAAGACATTAGGCAACGTTTTTTCTCACAAAAGTGTAGATGGACTTAGATAGGTATCTACTTAGGACAATTCAAAAGTAGTATCGCTAGTACTTTAATGATGTGGATGAGGATGTGAGGGTGGGTGAGAGTAAAGAGAAAATCTAATACCTTCACACCAAACTCTCATACGCTCTACCACCCGCACTCTCATGTCTGTTGTTCACACCTTCACTCTGAAAGAAGCAGCCATTTCATATGTTACAACCCGTGGTATCCGTCTCGACTTAGAGTAAGCTACTAAACTGTAAAAGCATATTGAATTTTATAGAAAGTGACACTAAAAGCCTATTAAGAAATATGTGATTGTTTTGAATTCCAGGTGCTTCGACAATGACTGGTACTGGCATAACAAAAGCAAACAAAGCGGCACACGTCAGTCAGGTTCAAGTAATTCAAATAATTTCTTAGTGCCATTTTTTTTGTTCATACCTATCTTCTTTTGTTCATAGAACAATCGAGCTGCAGCAGCCACCAGCGCCGTAAACACTGGATTCTTCTCCACCATCAAGAAGGTCAGACGATAACCATTGTAGGAAACGACTATTCATTAAATATCTCATGCTTTTTAGTTTTTCGATGTGAAAATCAGTGCTTCAGCAGCTAAAGGTAGGTTACTGTTGATTATGTTTTTCAGCAAGATTAGTGATGATGACAGTTATGTGAATACGATTGCCGTACTTTCTCAGGCGCACTATACTCACAGAAGAAATTCATAGATGATATGATCAATTTTTGAAGAACTTTTCTCGTTTGCCTATAGTTCGCGCATGTGAAGTAACACGGTCCTTTCGGATAAATTTCATAATTTATCTATTGACCGAAAGCGCATGTTCTTTATCAGAATAAGATATTTATCGTCTTTCCATTTCTATCATAATATCCCAACAAAAGTATTTGAACATTTTTTAAATAAAAAGAATCCAAAGATATTGTTCTGTAAGGAAATTTAGTACTCTCACATTCACTCGAATCAAGAGGTTAGCTGGTTTTATTGAATTTTCGCATCTTTTGCCGAATGATTCTTGAAAATGACTTTTAAAATTAACTAGAACTACTTGAACATCCTGACCTAATTGGACAACGAGTAACAATGTGAAACAAAATATGATTTTGCGATCATTCTATCGTCATTCAGTCACGAATTAGATTTTTGTTATCGTTCATTCATTGAAGGATACCAATGTAGGTGTGATTGTTTTCTCTTCGAACGTCGACATTACATAAAAGAGTTGTTCGAAGAGGACGACTAACATAATGCACCTAAACCCTCACTTTATTTAGAAACGTATTTTTGACTTTTTCTCGAAAACAACTATCTTTTTCTCAAAGATTGGCGATGCGTTGTCTCCAACATTACATTATGGTCAAATTTTCTTAAGCCATGTAAACAGAACATGTGTTGTTGCTTATATCAATGTCTTGGATTTTTTAGTAGAAGAGACTAGAACAGTTGAATCTAGACCTAGAAATCAATATACCTAAATTAGTGGATTACCTTAAATTTTGAGCATTTCGATAAAGCGAACATCCATCCACATGTTACATATAAGTGTATATAATTTTTGCTTGTTGGTTGGAACCAATCAGTTTTTTCATAAATTTAAAATAAGAAAATGAACAGAACTCGTTGCAAAAGCGTTTGATTCACTTTTTAAAGTTTGTTTCGCTATCATGCTACTTTCAGTTTCATAGGTTCTTTGATTGCTCGAAGACACTTAAGCCCCTAAAGATCATATTACTGGCATAGTTTGTAGGGTTTCATAACTTTCTTTATTTCTCTGAATTCGTTCAGATTTTCGTCTACTAACGATTTGTTGTGTTTCCTGATTTCCTTTGTCTCAATAAGTTCCTAGACTTCGTTGATATGTTTGGAATCTCTAGGTTCCTTCATTTAATGGAATTTTCGATAGTTCATACAGTTTGTGGAGTTCCGAAAATTCTTCTCATTAAACCTCTTTCGTCAGTTCCTAGACTTTCTAGAATCTCTTGGTTCTCTGGTTCCTGTCAAAAAGTAAATCTGATATATTCGTGGTATGTTAGTTTGCGACATTAAACGTGATAAGATGAGATTTCAGAAGATCCACAAAGGATTGAAATTTAACACTTGGCTCTTGTATTGCATGCTAAGTTTTCCTCTGCTGCACCAACTCGTAGAACGAATTGGTCGGGGAAACCCTGGATGTTGTATGAAAACTACTCTTATCAAACGAGGGTTTTACATTTTATAAATTGATTCAATCCAATAGATGCGTTTTCGTCGATAGATCTCCTATGCTGTCTTTGACACCACGAAATTTAGTATCGAGACACGTCGATAAGTGATGAAGCTCGACAAGAAAAAACATATGGCATCCTCTTTTTTGTTTTCTCAGCCATTTATTGATAAAGAACATTTTTTCAAAATTTGTCTTTACATTCTTTGTCGTGAGATGTTTTCTTTATGGGGCATTCGTCGTTTTTTTTGCTT